ACCACAATATTCGATTTTGTAGTAGTAGTTATCACTGGTCAGTATGGTTTATTTGCAATCATGAGGTTCATCATTTATAACTTTCAATGTTATAAACAATTTTGTGATTAAGTTTACAATTTACTTTATGTAGGATTTTGATTTTTGAACTATTCAATCACTGATTAGTCAATGTTATCGAGATACTGAACGGCCGTTTCGTTCTGTTGTGTGACTCTCAAGCGGTTCGCATCCACGATCCCGCTCGCGGGACTCGAACCCAGCCTCGTGCACGAACGCTTAAGCTACTGGACCACCGAGCTGGCATCCAATGGTGATAGTGTTTATTCAAGACTGAAGGCCCTGGGTTTGAATCCCGTGTGTGGGATCGCGGATGCGTACTGTTGAGGGGTCCCACAATAGGACGAAACAACAGTGCAGTGATTCCAGGTTTCCAACAGTGGTCTAACATCAATCAGTTCATGATCTCAATTAAAAACTTATTAACCTCTACAACCCCAATACTGATAATTATCGAAATATTCATGTACAAAAAAGAGAGGGAGGAAATATCCTTTTTATTTATATTGATTATTATAAATTCTATAACTAATGTATTCAACTAATTGTTCATTAACCCATCAAGTAATAGATTAATGGAATTCTTTGTAAGAAACTCTAACAGAAAAGAAAAATGAAGCAAAACAACAACAATCCTTTTTAAATAATAAACAATGAAACATTTATATATATTTAGCCAATATTACTATTTGGCAAACGATTAAATCATACATTAATCCATTACCATTAATGAAACAAATAGAATATAAAATTGATATCATATATGAATTATATTGTTCATAGTTACGAATAAATGGTCATTTTCTATTCTTTTTAGTTATAAATGATACATGGAAAACATTGTTCATTCGACCGAGTATAATAATACAGAATTCACACCAGTTTACAGGCATGATCACCTTGATATACAACATAGTAACTTAATAAGCAGAGATGTATAGTGGCTAGCAGTGGAATCCAGGACGCGCGTTTCGTCCTGTTTGGGACTCGTCAGCTGGATGTACCTGCATCTCAGATTCAAATAAAACAATATCAAGTAAATTAAACTTCACTCCATTGCACAAGCAAGTGGCTATCAGGACTCGGTAGCTAAGTGGATAACGCGATAGCGTTTGAGGCGAACGGTACTGAGTTCGAGTCCCAGAGTGAACATCAACTCTGAGATGCAGGTACATCCAGCTGACGAGTCCCAAACAGGACGAAACGCGCATCAAACTGGATTTCACTGCTAGCCACTATCCAACTTTGCTTAAAATGCTTGTGAATTAAGGCAATATCGAGGCATGCGCACAGTATGCACATATGCCAATAAGAGACTGATCAACTTCAGTCCTAAAACATCAATGGGAAGATTCAAATAAAACAATATCAAGTAAATAGTAACTTAATAGTTAAATTCATGAGACAATTGAAGCTAGACCATTACGAAAAACTTGAAAGAACTGGAGAACGATTTCATCCTAGTACTGGACTGCTCAACGTTAAATGTAGAGAAGAAACATGTATTATAAGATTGTTTTAAGTTTACTAGTTTAAAAATTGTTTAAGTAGTACATTTATGACATGTATTACAGCAATGAAACGTAATTTTTCATAAGTGGACATCTTGTTGATGTATGTAAGAACGGTGTATGTAAGATTATTTCCCGTACCATAATGATCTAATACTAGAGAAAGTATAATGGAAACAGAAAGCATGCAACAACAAAGCAATAATTACTAAAATGTATCAGTCAGGTCTACCATAATGCTTGTGTAATATAACTCACTGATATACTATTCATGTTAGATATTATTCAAATTACTTAGGGTTTGTCAGAGATGGTGTTTACTTTACGTAAACACCAGGTAGGTGGTTTTACCTAGTGAATTCAGTAACAAGAATGGTTAAACATTTAAAGTCTCTACAATCTCAATTATGGGGTAAGATACAATTACAGGTGATAGAACCCTTAATAAATTTTCAGAAGAGTAATATGCATCAATGTAGCGAATGAGCCATATTTTATCTTACTAACAGATTATTCCAGAGGTAAAGTAAATCATATGAACAGATGCTTCAGAATGGGTTTATTTCACTAGTGACAAGAAGTTACGGGCGTCGAAATTAGAAGTTTCTGTATATTGATAGGGTTTTGTTCTCTGAGCTGGATGGTTTATTCGTTGAGCTTTAATCGTCTTTATAAATGAGGTCATCAGCACAAACTTAATCTAGTTGATGTGTGCTGATGATGTCGTTCAGAAAAATGATGAAAGCTCCACAACCAAACCATCACCATCGCCTTTCGAATTACTTGACTGGATGTAAAGGATAGTTTAAATACTTAAACTATAAAGGATTGGGCCCAAGTTTATTACATCTAGAATTATAATTTAATGTACAAACAATTCCAAGAATACGATGTGTAAATCATCTCTTTTGCTGATTCCAATCTTAATTTATCCTATGATCCATACACTACTAAGAATAAACATACAGTATTCTAGGAATAGACGAACACACCCTTTATACATTAAAACTTAGTATCAAATACACTTAAATAAATAATTTTCACCTTAATTGTTTTAAAAAGAAAAACTTATTCTTATTTACATTAACTACTTATGAACAATAAAAATTGGGCAATTATTATTCATAATTAACAGCTGCCCAATATAATTAAACATGATACTATTCTATTCATTCAAATGAATAGAATTTAGTATAGGCTATTTGGTCTTTATTATTCTTTATATTCAATGGAATGAAACTCTAAGTAGGTTATTATTTTCCAATATTCACACGCATAGAGATAATTTAGTTGAATCATTATATGAATAGTAACAATGATAATAATAATAAGTATTATTATTATATTACTAGAAGTAGAGAATAAAAGTAGTATAGAATAGATTTAAAATAAGAAAAGTGATTGTTTCATTTACATATGATTGTTTAAATAAATGTTGAGTTCAACCTAATCCAATCTGTGTATGAATTACTGGAAATCATTACTGTATTGAATGAGAACATTAAGTGTGTGTGTGTATTTCAACACTGAATTGCAGAATATCTTGTTAAAATCTCAGAACCATAAAGTAAATGCTTCATTTGTGAAATATCAGTTCATCGTCTCAGAATTCACTGTTTTTTTTTCATTTCCACAACCATCATTTTCTGTTCTTGTTCTCTTTTATTCAATTTTCATAACTATCTACTGCCAGATATTTCACTTTCAATTGATGATACATACCACTTCATATCTATGGAGATCAGTAGCACACACCACACCACGACTTAAGGCTAATTAATGTCTCTTGATGGATGTTATGCCGCTTCCATTGATTCGATTTGAAGCAATGTAATCATGTCAGTGTTATAACTTGCAGCCCTGTTTCCCTAAAAATAATATATGATGTAATGATACCGCCAATTAGAGATCAGATCGACTGAACCAATGCCACTTATTCCCGTACGAGCAGGCTTTAGAATTTATTCGTCCTGCTTCCTGCCTAGCTTTGCCTATTAGGTTTAGAACATTAATCTGAGCCTCTGCGATACTAATCATGTTTTCCAAACATACTGGGCTTATATACGAACCGAACAGACCACATCTCATCACAAAATTTAGAAAACAACATCTAGTCAAAAGTGGCTATGAATGTGGGAGATAGTAATTGATAGACTGAGCATAACTCCAGAACGGTAAATCATATAATAATAGTCTACGGGTTAAAATAAAGCATATACTACGAGAAATATAGATAAACATAATCCAGTTACTCAATATTTCTACAATAAAAATATATGTGTCGTATGAATTCATAAGTAGTTCTCAAGTGTTACCATTCATAATTCTCATCGGGATATAACAGCTACAAATGGGTTTAATGTCAATGTTTACTTATTAAAGTGACTTAAGCATTATGCATAAGTAGCACAGATATTAGTGACAACTTTAAGACTTAAAACCACACATATAATATAATTATATCACTAACAACTTTAGAAACCTGAAAAGAAAGAGTTGAGTAATATGTTTCAAGTGACATAATAGCTTACAATTATTTCTATTTTAACGAAGAATTCCTCGTAAGTGCAAGTTGAAATCATGAGTCTGTTATATACACTATACTAGTTTGCTTCTTCGCTGAAACTGATACTTTCTACACGAAACTGTGATTACTATGAAGTAAGAAAGATAATGATATTTCATACACTACAATAATTCACATAAATGATAATGAATATATTGGCTTTTATATTCAAACAAAGCGTACAAATGTTCAGTATTGTATTCAATTGGATCCTTATCAGGTAGACTCTTATATTTTTTCTGGTTAGCGCTTTTTTAGCGAGTTAGTTTTCTACAAGATGGGGACGCTAACCCCATGCCCAAAACTTATCATTTATCCGGGCTTGGGACCGGCAGTAGCCCTCGGAGCGACTCCACGTGGAGTTAGGTGGACTCTTATTCATAATAATATTTATATGAATATATAACATAATAAATCCATCAATAAAATTTGTAAGTCATTGATCACAATGAAAGAGACTGCAGAATGGCAGACAATGGAAATTGGGTTGCGATGGTGGAGAAGATTTGTAGCTCAGGTGGATGATTTTGGTTGAGTTTTGTTTTCTTAGCTAGAAAACAAAATTCGATCAATATTTGGTTGCAAAATATTATGAATCGACTAAAGTTGGATAATGACATCATTGAATGCTAACTCAGTGATCTAGAGGTTAAGTGTTTACCTGTTATTCCTCAAGTCTTTAGTTCTATACCGGGAGAAAACGGTCATTCAGTGTTTTCAAGTTTTTCATAGTGATCTAGCTTAAAGCAACTCATGATTTGAACTATAGAAATACTATATTAAAATGTAGAATAACTTATTCTATATTGATGGTGTTATTCATATTATCTATGATTTCTGTATTTGTTAAAAATATATAACAGACGGTCCTGAATTTTCAAGTCCTTCAAATGATATATTATCCGGTGAATTAGGTCAAACTATTAATTTAGAATGTTCAGCTAATTCAAATCCTGAAGCTGATGTCTCTTTATATTATATTGGACCAGAAGGACAAATTCTTTTAGAAGAAGTAACTAAATCGGAATTAAATCAATATCAACTACATTATAATCGTCCAGTAAATTTTAAAAATCCAAAATATCTTATTTGGAATAGTGAAACAGAATATGCAGAATTTAATATGAGTATTATGAAAGCAGCTATTCATTCAATTGGTAGAAAGGTAATAACTACAGAAATATATTTTAACATGATTTTCTATATATCAATAAAAATTCAGTAGTATTTAATTTTTGTTTTTTTAATAAAGCTTAACACACTATCATGTTAAAGTACTTAAAGAGAGACATAGTCGAAAATTCGATAATCATAGTTTCAGTACAGTGTTGTGGAAGCACTGGACGGCCACGACTAGTGGAGCTAATCCGTGTCGCGAAGAGACAGGTATCTACCTCAGTACTATGGAAGATAGTCGCGCATTTTCTTGGAGTGGTTGATGTTAGACAGTAACCATTGGATACCGGCCACAAATGCCCTGGTACGGCCGAGAGTGAGGAGAGTCAGCTCTCCCTCTCGAAATGCTCTCACACGGCCTCGCGTATATAGTCTCTGCCAGGGAAGTCCTACTCACTGCCTTCTCGCACCACGGGTGTTGTTTACGAAAATGAGAAGACGAAAAGCGAATGTCTGGCGCTTTAACCGGATCCCAAACCAATGGTGCACTTGGGCTCCAGTATCCTGCAGGAACAAATGGCGTATAAACCAATTGTTGGTCACCGGCTTCCATGGGACTGCATCTCCTTACGATGCTCCACTGCCTTGTGGATCAGACCCTCAAGTCGAAGGCTCGGGGTGTGGCCCCCTAAGAAAATCGCCTGCTACGATCTGGGCACCCGGGCAGTATCACAGCCCTCACACATATCGAATGAGATTTGTGTGGCTCATATATATTTGGTGCCTCTTTGTACCAATATCTATGTGTTGAAATAAAATGAAATAAACTGTGGTCCGGTAGGTTAAGCGTTCTCGTGCGAGACTGAAGGCCCTGGGTTCGAGTCATGAATGCGTACTGCTTGGGAGTCCCACAATAGGACAAAACGGCCGTCTGGTGCTTCTAGGTTCTCAATGGTGGTCTAACATCAATAGGTTCATGATTTCAATCAATAACCATGATTTTAAAACTGAATACCATAAATCAACCTAAAAGTTAGCCACATATCACGAGCTAATTTTGCAGTTTTTCTTAGTCTTATGCATCCTTGAATGCCGTTAGTACTTGGCAAAAGCTATTATCCATAAACCTTCTTCCATTCCGTTTAGTGTGATAAATGCAATATAAGTCATTTATACCGTTGTTTACTATGCTGAATCAAACATTAACAATTTTTTTTCATAATGACGAATCAACGAGAAGTATTCATTTAAATCTATGTAATACTGTTTAGTCAGTACCAATTAAAACAATGAAATAAACAGAGTTTTTTAGTTAACACTTCACTTGTTCATTACAGCTACCTTGACATTGTGTTCGGATTTACCTACCACGATGAACCGATCAGGTGTAGACAACTGGAAAGTGATAATCGCCCATATACCTCAATCGGCACTCAAGGCTATCCATTGTAACACATTATGTATATTCAAAAGAATGTATTCACTTATCTTAATCATTCTATTACTTATAATGATTAAAACAACGACAGTTGACTAATTCGCTTAATCTCAAAATCTGTATACATTACAAATGGTTTTACCAATTCTATCATTTGAGATCATTTAAGATCTTATTGTTTGATCCATTTTATTGTTTGATTTTAATTTAGCTATTAGGTTCACAATTAAAACAAGTTTCATATAAATTACATTTAACAAATCATGAACAATTTGGTTTTTATGCATGTATTGCTCAAACAACCGGTTATCCACCCATATATCGTACAGTTTATGTAGGACAAGCTGGTAAGTAATTTTGTTTTTTGTTTTTTTCACTTTCAATCGACTTATAATAAGATACATTTTCATTGAATGACAATTATTACACTAGTCAACAATTGAACACATCACTTCCTAATGGGTAGTTTTTATGACGGATTAACATTTTTCAGGATCAAACAGGAGATCGTTCCAAATGTGATCATACTGAAATGGTAGAGAAGATTTGTAGCTCATATGAATGCTTGAGGTGGAGTTTTATTCTCTAAAGTGGATAGTTTGGTTGTGGAGCTTTCATTGTTCTTGTGAACAATGTCATCAGCACAAATTTTAGGTAGATGTGGAGTGTTTGAATAAATCTCATAGCTTATGTTCTCGACAATACAGGGTTGTGGATATCATTAAGTTTTTAATTGAGATCATGCTAAGGAGTCCCACAATAGGATGAAATGGTCGACCAATACTTTCAGATTTTCATTTGTGATCTATCATTAATCGATCTCAATCAATAAGAATGGATAAATTGGCCTGTTCAGAAGGTAGAATAAGTTATATGGGCTTAATATAGTAATCGACTTTACAGATTATCAGGCCTACCTAATTCTCACTAAATCGCTTAATCGCTCATCTATGTATTATTTATATGAGTGAATTATTTCTAACCTTAACCATCAACTGTAAATCATAATTCTAATTCTTCACAGAAGTTTGTAATCTACATTTGGTCCTAGTTATTAGGTGAACCCTCTCAAAGTCAGTCTAGCGTCACTCAAAAGTCATCCATAAATTATAGTCTCACCACTTTACTTTCATTCGTGAATTGGTTGAAGCTAGACATTAACACCGTTGGATGCCGGCTCAATGGTCTGGTAGTTAAGCGCTCGCGTGCGAGACTGTTTGGTGCTGTGTGCGAATCTGGCGAGGCGAGATCGTGCGTGTGCTCTGCTGAGGAGTTCCATACTAGAACGAAACGGTCATCAAGTGCTTCCAGGTTTTACATGGTGGTCTAGCTTCAATTGACTCATGATCTCGACAATTGAAATTTTATCCATTTCTGTAAAATTCAGAATAAATGTAAACTTTTTTTAAGTAATTTTCCGGAAAATTTTTTTTATTTTTAAAGAATCACCGAAAATTTTAAAAACTGATCAATCGATTTCTTTCGATGGAACATTTGCTGAATTATTTTGTACAATCTATAGTATTCCTAGACCTACTGTACATCAAATTACATGGTCAATAAATGGGATCTCTATCAAACCGGACAAAAGGTAAGTATTATACTTGCAGTATAACTAAGTGAAAATAAAGTATTTGAATGAACATATAGTTTCAGTAATTTGATGATGATAATGCTGATGATTGTCATTTAATTGTTTGATATCTGACTCCAGTTAGATCGGATGAAGGATTGTTATCGAATGATTGAAGTCGAAATATACATCCTGGCTGCATTTGTATATCTCGATGGTTATTGTATTGCAACAGACAATATAAATGATTCAACAATGTTGAATGATCAAAATATCAAGGTTTTACAGCAGTAATAGCTTCAGTACATGCCATAATGCATCATTTATTGTAAATATCAGTAGTTTTGTGGATATTATAGTAATTTCAATAGTTGAAATCATAAGTCGATTGAACCTAGACCGCCATTTAAAACTAGGAAGCACTTGAAGGACGTTTCTACCTAGTGTGAGACTCCTAAGCAGTGCGCATCCACGATCCCGTCTAGCCAGATTCGAACCCAGTACCTTACAGTCTCGCGCACGAACGTTTAACCACTAGACCACTGAGCCGGTATCCAAAAGTGTTAACTTTAATTAATCTACGAAATTGAGCGACTAATCGACGATTGTCATCAGTGAGTTACTGTCTCACAACATCTGCTCACTAGTGACTGGCTTCAAGAGGTATATCCTGGAGTTCTAATGAGAAGCAGTGACCAGAGGAGTTCAAACAGCGACAGACCCTTCATACACCAAATTAAATTGGTTTACAATAGTCGTAAAGCCCATTATTAGTATCTTATCATTGATTTATTGTATAATTATTGACTTTATTTAGTCAACGAGAAACAAATTGTCAACGATAAATATCCTTTCAGAAGACTACATAAACCAGCAATATACAGTGTCGTCAACCATCCTTTATAGTTCTATCCAATTCGTGTTCAGTTCTCTCATGTCTGTCTCCAATTCTCGGTGTATTCTGTTATTCGGTCTTCCACCTTTTCTTTGGTCTTGAGGATTCCATGTGAGGGATTGCCTTTTGACACAAATGAGTGATTTCTCAATGTGTGTCATATCCATTTCCAGCGATTCATCCTGATTTCTTCCTCCACTGGGATTTGGTTTGTTCTCTCTCACAGGAGATTCTTGTTGATAGTGTCTGGTCAGCGGATCTGAAGTATTTTTTGTAGACAACTATTAAGAAATACTTGTATCTTCTGGACGATGGCTTTCGTAGTTCTCCAAGATTCCGTCCCATACTGTAAAACTGTCTTAACATTTGTATCGAAAATTCTGACCTTTATGTTGGTTGACAGACAGTTGTTTTGAGTTTCAGATGTTTTTCGATTGTAGATATACTGCTCTTGATTTACCGATCCGCGCCCTCCGTTTATATAATGCATGTGTTTTTAAATAAAACACTTTAATACCGGTTAATTAATAAGTTTCCATCTGCTTTGAGAAACCATTTGTACTTGATTATTAATGATAAACTAGTAAGAAATAATATCGATCTGAAGACATTAATTTCACTATCTATATGATCCATGGTAATTACATTACTATACACTATAATAATACATAAAAGTATTATTCGCACTAATTGTAGCGGTTTGCGTCTAATCAATAAGTATTTTATGTACTAGAGTAGCATGTAGAGTAACGTCAAGTGAGGTTAAATGGAAAAGAGAGGAACAAAAGAAAAACAATTTAGCCAACGATCCAACAAACGCACACAATTCACTTACATTCATTAATGAAACCCATAGACAACAATGAATAATGACTTAATAATATCAACCTTATGATCAGTCTCAATCAAATGTTTCATACTGGAGAATGATGTCTGTTTATCCTGTGATTTTATTTGAGCATTTAAATTCATTTGTTTCTGCAGTCACTTGGGTATATAATCCGTCACCCTTATTTGCTGATCACGATTGCTTCTCCTTATATACTTGTTACCGCGCAAACATGTCAATTGACAGACACACTGATATGTGACACGTGCTGTTTTAACTTTTGGTTTAACTAAAACCATATCTTTTCAATAATGACAAGTTTGGACTGTATAAAATGTTCTATTGATGATTTAGTTAAATTTCCATTTCAACATGAGTCTATTTGGGTATATGTATGATTAGATTGTTCGTTTTCTTATTGCATAATTAGCATTTATCAAAGGGACTCATTGTTAGACATTACCACCGTTGGATACCAGCTCAGTGGCCTAGTTGGTTAAGCGCCTGGCTCCAGACTGATAAGTCCTGGGTTCGAATCTCGCGGGGGGACCGTGGATGCGCACTGCTGAGGAGTCTCATACTGGGACGAAACGGCCGTCCAGTGCTTCCAGGTTATCGATGGTGGTCTGGCTTCAATTGGCTCATGATTTCAATCGGTGAAGAAATTACTAAAATCTCCACAAAACCCTTTCTGACAAATAGAATTGCAAAATAGAAAATCTAACTGATTAAAAACAAAAAAAACGGTATTCATTGTTGAAAGCAAAGATTAATTCTATAATTGGACAATAAATTAAAAGTAGAAAAGATTTACATCTATGGAGTAATTGTATAATAAATAAACCCATTTCTTTTTTTGTTCATTTACGGAATGGTAAATAAAGTTTAATCCAAATCTCAAGTAAAATATCTGATGTACATTTTTTTTCTTCAGGGATTAATATTCGACAAAACACCAAAATCATTTGGTTGCTGAGAGCGTTACTTATTCACTTACCTACTTACATACTTACTCATTGACTTACTTACTTATTGACTTACTTACATACTTACTTGTGTATGTATGTATGTATGTTACAGTTCGTGGAGGAGTATAGGTCACCCACCAATACCTCTTCATCCAACCCTATTTTAAGCATTTATAAATATATAATTCTATCCATAATAACTTTAACTGAATCTATTCAAGCAAGATAGAAATGAAATCATTTATAAAAATGAAAAGTCATATATACAAGAATAAGAACAAAAAAAACAGACTTAAATCAAAGTCTAATGATAAACGATTGAGTATATTATGCAATCTATTTAGTTTTGTAAATAAAACTCAAATGAAGTGATTAATGTCTGAAGAAACGTAGTACTTTTTATCAATGTCATTCAATTGTTCATGTGATATAATAGTAATCGTATTGCTTATATTCTATACAGTGTATTCCAATATGTAATTGCACTGTATATGTATAGTAGTTTAATAATGATTTGGTTATGTCATGAAGCTTCGAATAGGTATAATACATGTATATAGAACTTTTAAGCATGCTAGTTAAATGTTAAACATTCTATGTAAGATAATCGGAAACAGTCATGAGATTAGGTGTTCGAACGAGTGACTGATGTTTATGGGTAGGTTAACAATAGGTTTAGTAGTGGATATGCTATATTCCATACTAGAATATCTTTTACTTCCAAGTTTGCAATGATTGTCTGGCTTAAACTGGTTCGTGATTTTGATTAAATAAACATTATCAAATATTTAGGAGATTTGAGAGTTTTCAAAGTTTTTGAATCATGAAATTATCTTAGACGAGGAAGCACTGAACAGTTATTCCATCTTAATATAGGACTCCTTACAAGACTGCTATGGACTACGACCATCGAAAATCGTGAGTTAATAAAGGTTAGATAATGAAGTTGAAAAATCAAGCGTTTGTGCTCAAAACGGAAGGTTCTTAGTTTGATCTCATAAAATATATTCTTAGCAGTAGCTTTCCATTTGACTTGAACATTATATCTACATAGAAAGTGCTTACTTATTTGACTTCGTAAATACTGAAGATCAAGAGGAATATGGGACTTGTGGGATTCATTTATAAAGTATGGACCAATTAAAATCATAAGAATCATTCTTCCTTTCTGTTTTACAATGCTAGTCATTATACATCTTTATTTACTTAGCTGTGTTTTATACAAGAATCAGTATATCCATTTTGTCATAAGTTATACATTACCAAAGTTATTTTATTTGCAATAAACGAGAACTCCGATGAAGACAATCCATTTATGGTTTAAAACAGAATTACAGAATATTTTCATAAAATATGATAACCATACGCACAGCTAAAAAGTCCCATACTAGGACGAAATGGCCGTCCAGTGCTTCCAGCTTTTCCATGTCGGTTTAACTTCAATTGACTCAGGATTTCAACTATTGAAATTTCTAAAATCTCCACAAAACCCCTTCTGATTAAATACTTTATTTGCATATCTTCCATTAATTATTCTTCATCTTTTGTATGATTCTAACACTTCACAATTCCTTTCTACTTCCCTTTCTATTTTCTTCAATTTGATCTTCCTGGCCTTCTTCAGCTAGGCATTCAACTTCTGACTAGTTTAACATACTACTTATGTTGAAAGATATGTAACATACACTATATATCTATTAATTTAGTCACAAAATATGTTTGCTCATTCTGTCAACTTATTCATAAGAGATGAATTTATGAACTTCTATTGTTTATCAATTTGTATACGTATGTTAAACACATGTAGTGATTATACTCTATGAAAGATATGTTTGCGATTTAAATAATGTTATTGTTCCGAGGTAAATATAAGTATTATTATCAGAAGGAGATTGTGGAGGTTAAATGGAAATTTCACTGATTGAAATCATGAGTCAATTGAAGCTAGACCACCATCGAAAAACTTGAAGCACTGGACGACCGTCTCGTCCTACTATGGGACTCCTCAGCAGTGAGCATTCTTGATCCAGCAACCTGTGAGATTCGAACCCAGGACCTATCAGTCTCAAACCAGGTGCTTAACCAACTAGATTCATGATTTCAATCTGTGAAATTTCTGAAATCTCCACAAAACCCCTTCTGATAATAATCATCTGCTCACTAGTGACTGACTTCAAGAGATAATCCTGGAGTTCTAGTGAGAAGCCGTTACCAGTGAAATTCAACCAGGTCTGTTGTGAGAAATCAACTCACTGAATACAATGATGCACGGTGGCGCAACTTCGTGGATTGATTGAAGTTAGACATTAACACCATTTGATGCCAGATCAGTGGTCTAGTTGGTTAGGCACCTGGCACGAGACTGATAGGTCGTGGGTTTGAATCTCGCTGGGTGTGGGATCGTGGATGCGCACTGCTGAGGAGTTCCGTACTAGAACAAAACGGCTTTCCAGTGCTTTGAAGTTTTCCAAGATGGTTTAGCTTTAATCAACTCATCAATTCAATTATCAAATGATCATATATATTAATCATTATTTTATTATTTTTGACATGGTTACTAGTTTTAATAAAGTTTTCTTTAATATTTATATTATCAGATTAAAAATTTATCAAGAGAAAACACATCGTGGTGTAACTAGTATATTAACATTAAATAATTTACGTCCAAATGATTTTACTACATATAATTGTACAGTAATCAATGATTACGGAAGTGATTGGAAATTAATTACATTATCATCTAACAGTAAGTATACTTATTTTTCTTTCTAATAAAGATATAATTTATGATTGTTCTGGTCTTATATAAATAAATCACTAAGCTATTCAAATCTTACTTACTTACGTAATGTAACAACCGAACTACCAGTATTCGGTTTGCACGCAGGACTGACTAATCAAAATGTATTCGAATAGGCCAGGCTACGTTCTTCTGTTTAGCTTACAAAGCGTTTTTGAGATACTCGTATTATCTTAAAGAGGACAAGCTAATAAAGGGAACTATGTGTATGGAATTACTCGTATTATTTTATATCAAAACACAAACTCTGTGCTCAATTTAAACGGTTCTAATTTAAGAAATAAAACAAATTATATCAGAAATACAAAAGACCTCAAACAGTTTAGTCTGTGCTATACAGTCAGAAGTTTATCTAACGCAATGTAACGCGCTAAGCACTAAAAGAAACAGTTCATTCTAAAGGGTACGGTACCTGAGAATCAATAAAATATCCCCAACAAGATGGGATCAAATATCTATCTATGAGGATTCCAACAATCCTTCAAAGCAGATAGTTAAAAGGTTGACAGTGACACACTGAATCACGCCATGACCTTGAGCTTAGTCAAACACGATCTTATTGTCAATAGTCCGGTAACATGCAACAGAAAATTAGGTAACAAAACATAAGTCTTTGATCAAAATCACATAATAAAAGCTCAGACGAGGATGACTGAAGAACAAAAGGTTAAACGAGATCTGAATAAAGGTTAGAATACACGACAGGGAGAAGAAACAAATAAATGACAGTACTGTCCAACAAAAAAACTGCAGAGGGATTTTCATCGCTCTCTTTCTATTACACGTATGTTACCTTTTGTAGCGAAGCATAGGTCACCCGATGGAAGCCTCTATCCACTTCTATTCTGGGTAATCCTTTCCACTTGTTTCCAGTTGCTAATACTTAATCATCTTAAACATTTCGTTATGATAACCGATATTAGGTAATGTCCTTAACGGTGTATAGATCAGAATACAAATATGAAGTGTTGATTGCGTTTATTATTTGACGACGCATAGATAACCAAAACCACAGAAACGCCAAACAAGAATGAAATGCTATTACCGAAAAGTAAGCGAGCGAGTGAGCGTTCGAGTTTGTGAGTCAAAAAAGATAATAATTAAAATGTACATATATATATATATATATATATATATATATATATATATATATATATATATATATATATATATATATATATATATATATACATAGGGAAATGAATGAATCATAAAATCAGTTGAGCGATTAACATCACAGTTAGCACAATGAATATATGCGTAGGCAGTAAGCAATGCTCAAGCATACATATTCATACAAGCGCACCAATAATAAAGGTACAATGGTATAGATAAATTGTTATTGTACAAATGACTCTATCCGTTATATAATTTAACAAAAACGCTTAACCAAATTAAGTGTGAACTCATAGGTATTAAGTTCGAATCTCTCGAGCGGTTTTATGGATACTTACTACTGAAAAGTCCCATAATAGGACGAAACCCACATCCATTGCTCCCAGGTTTTCTATAATGGTCTTGCTTCAATTGACTCATGAATTTACCCATAAAATCAAATATTTTTAGAAATAGAAAAATCTTTGTACACAAACTACACAAATTCAACAATGAACCAACATGAATGTTATATCGATATTTTAAAAAAATATCTCAATAGTACATGGATATAATACTGAGTTACCTGACGATTCTAATTATGAAAAGTGAAAAAAATTGTTTGTTTTTTTTGAAATACCAAAATTGTACGAAGAAGAAGTTCTTGGTAGTTACTAATTTTTATGGCTACAAAAAAAAACAGGTATGGATGTAGATATACAAACTAGACCAAGTGCAGACTACATCGAACTCCCCCTCTCGTCATTATATCGATATACAGATTGATATGTTCTCTTTTTCGCACTAGATTTTGTTTTCTCTTTTTTTAATGTTCAAATATTTGATATTTTGTTCTTATTTATTCAGTTTTATTGTCTTGAATGTTTTTTTGTTGTAGTTAGAGTTCTTTTTTAACAAGTTAGTTTTCTACGGGATGAGGTCGCCAACCCCATGATCAACCTCCCTCCCTTATCCAGGCTTGAGACCAGAAGTAGCTTTAGAGGGGTTCCAGGCGGAGTTAGTTTTATTGGTTTGGCAAACTTAATCGTAGTTTTGAAATGACGAGTGATTTTTATGACATTACTAAGCCTTTTATTAAAAGTTTACTAAAATTAATTAAGGGCAATTGGATACCTATATGTTAGAGTAGTTGAAGATAGTTGGCAGTAGATATGATAATCATTTGGATAGTGGATTATAATCAACAAAAAAGAATCCAGGATAATGTGTTTCGTTCGACTAGGGATTTTTCAGGTGTATTTCCCTTCATACGAATGTTGATATTTATCAAATAACTTGAATCTAGAACATTTCAATTCAAATGTTTCACAAATTATTCACTGAGCTACTGAGTTCAGATAATCACTAGCTTGTATAACGGATAGTATTTTGTTTCATTTCTTTTCTTTTCAAAGTGTTTAGACTTACTCCGTTATTGAAATTATCCACTGAATTCCACTGTAAGTTAAGATCTATCTATTCTAAGATAACTTGCAATAAACTGATTAATAACAAGGCAATTAGCTGAATATACACATATGCTAATGAAGACTGACTAAAATTCAATTGAGAATATAAAAACGAAATTGGTTGATAAACATCTATACAAACTGAAATAAAGATCTGAAGACAATTAATCAAATTAATGAAACGAAGGCAAAATGACAAACATAAAGGGGTGATGCAATAAAGTTAATAAGATGTATTACATAATGATTATAGAAGAATAAAAGAGTTTACTTAAGTCTAAGTATAAATTAATTGAATGTAGATGAAATAACAAATAGCTAAGCGACAATTGCATAACAAAATACAAATAATGCAAATAATAATCATTATGAAAATGGGACTTAATTCTAAGCACGATTACATATTTACTACCGTAATGATAAATTAACAATCGTCTGTTTTTGATTGAAATCGTGAACCAATTGATGTTGGAACACCATTGTAAACCTGGAAGCACTGGATGACCGTTTTGTCCTATTGTGATACTCTTCTACAGTGTGCATCCACGATCATGCTCGTCGGATTCAAACTCAAGGTCTTCAGTCTCGCGCGCGAACGCTTAACATCTAGACTATTGAGTTGGGTGGCATCCAACGATGTTAATGTTTAATTTCAACCAATCCATGAGGAGTTTCAGAATGGGACGAGACGGCTATACAGTGCGTCCAGGTTTTCAATGATGGTCTAACATCAATCGGTTCACTATCTCAATCAAAAACTAATGTTTGTTAAATTTACTTGATACTGTTTACTTGAATCTTCCCATTGATGTTTATTACTGCAATTGATCAGTCTCTAATTGACATATTTGCATACAATGTGTGTTGCCTCGAATGCACTACCGTTCGCTTCAAAAACCATCACGTTATCCATCCAGAGTGAACATCAACTCTGAGATGCAGGTACATCCAACTGACGAGTTCCAAATATAACGAAACGCGCGTCCTGGATTCCATCTCTAGCCATCATCCATCTTTGTTTACAATGTTTGTTAAGTTGTGATTCTTATTAATACATTCTTTGTAATAGAGTATAAGCAGTGAGACCATAATTTATGGACGACAACTGAGCAAAATTAAAATAACCTTGAAAATGCCCATCTACTTACTGGAATTAAACGGCAGTTGTATACATTTGTGAGGAATTATGATTATGATTTGCAGTTGATGATTGAGGTTAGGAATTAGATTTACAGTTTTCATCACGAGCTGACATAAATTAAAATGCTATAACGCTATTTAGACAAATGGATGAATGAATTTCGTGCCCAAATCCAAGTCCTGTTATCTCATTTCTGATATCGTAAATCTGTTGAATTCATCCATAAGTTTTAGTCTCACCACACAAACTGTTTATTCATTTTAACGCAAGTGCTAAACATCATTCCATGGTTTAAATTTAACCAGCAATGTAAAGTATCAGCTTTCAATGAAGATTATCATGTTTTGTATGTAAAAGTTTGAACTATTCATTGTATTTAAGCGAAAATGAATAGTGGCTAACAGTGAAATCCAAGTCATGAGTTTCGTCCTATTTCGGACTCATCAGTTGAATGTGCTTGCATCCCAAAGTTAACGTTCACTCCGGGACTCAAACACAGTACCGTTTGCTTCAAACACTTAGCTACTGAGTCCCGGTAGCCACCTACTTGTGCTTGCTTAAAAAGCTTGTGTCTTTAGGCTATATCGATGTAATCCGCGCAGAATGAACATATGCCAACATGAGAATGATCAATTGTAGTCCTAAATAACAATGGAAAGATACATATAAAACAATAATAAATGAATTTATTCATTGTACTTCCTAGTAGTTGATTCATAAGTAGCAGATTATCATTCGATTTATACCCAAAGAAATCTAATTCTTTTTTATTCTATTAATTTTAGACAAATGGCCATTAACATTTGCTGTTGTTAGTGGTATTGCTGCATTATTGGGTATTTTATTTGTTACAATTATATGCTGTTTCATTAGATATACTCGATTAAAACGTAGTAACTCAAATGGTTATTTCAAATCTAAACAAGAACATCATTTACAAAATAATGAAGGTAATTAAACTTCATAACTGATATATCATCTTTGTCTAAATCTTTTTCTATGTTAAAAGAATATGACAAACTGGGGATAAATGTCAATTTCATTACTTACTTTACTTTATTTCACTTATTTACTTAGTTACCTACTTACGCCTGTTATTTCTTGTAGAAGAGCATAGGCCACTCGCCAGGATTCTTTATCCAACTCTGTCCTGGGTAATCCTTTCCACTTGTTTCCAGTTGCTATCCCTCCCTTTGATATATGCTTCCGATCACGGACGCAATGTGTTCCTTGGTTTTCCAATTCGCCTTTTCATATTGACTTCTAATTCGCAATGCAATGTGTTCAACTTTGCTCTTTTCCGTTTCCCTTTGCGATTCCAAGTTAGGACTTGCCTTGTAATGTTGTTTGATAATTTCCGAAATGTATATCATATCCACTTCCATCGTCTTACCCTAATTTTCCCTTCAGCTGGAAGCTAGTTGATTATTCTTGCGGATTTGAACGCCATATTCGTCTCTTAAGCTATTCTGTAATCCTCAAGCTAGAACTATACAGAGACCTGAACACGAGAGAAAGATTCAAGTATACGAAAAACAGTTTACTCCAAGGTTCATTTTAATACAGAAAATACAGGGTTTTCATAATATTTAAAATGTTATTGGGTTGCCAGAAGATTTTGGAATGCTACTAAACATAATAGCAGTGTAGCAGCCAACCAATCAGAACCTCTACATGTGATGTTCCGCTTCCTTGATATTTTTAGCCAAGACTCCAAGTGAACGCTGATTGGATGAAACGTTTCTTAGTATTTCTTAATGCTTGCTTGTCGTTTGCGAGTAATTTTCTGGATCATTCCAACACTAGTTTGCTGTTTTCCACAGTAGGCTGTTAGTGATGGCATCTGGTCAACGGATATTGAGTATCTTGCGTACACAAATGTTTATAACTATTTGTACGTCAATTTCATATTACATAATAAATGATTTCTGTTGAAATATGATGATATATTTTTCATAATTTGATTTCATCTTATAGAGAATAAACAAAATAGGGACGGTGTAGAACTACAATCAATCCTAAATCATAAACTAATCCAATCTGGTCTGTCTAACTCAAACCCTGTTGAAAATGTCTCTTTAACAAATAATGTGAGTATATTTTGTTTTAATCATTGTCACTGTTTATGTTGTATATATAGTAGATTTCGAAGTGTAATTGACTGTAATGAAACCTGAACAAAATTATTATGAATATGGATACAACTATTTCTTGTTACTGTGTGAAGGAACAAAGATTGATGATCTTGTATTCAAAGAAGGAAATAAAACTGCAGATAGCGATTTTTCATGCACCAACTTATCTGATTGACAATGGTTGATATTAATTTATTAATCATCAAAGACATATGATATAAATTTTGGTATCATGTGCTCACTTAGTGACTAACTTCGAGAGAGAATTCACCGAGAAGCTATGACTAGTGGAACTAATCCGTGTCGGATGTGAGTCAGTTACTTAACTAACACAGTAGAAGATGGTAGCACAATATCGCGAATTGATTGAAGTTAGAAATGAACACCGTTGGATGCCGACCAGTCTGAAAATTTTGCGTTTTTCGCACGACTCCAAAGATCCTAGTTTCCAGTCCTGCATGAAGTGATTGTGGGTCTACTAACAGGATGAAACGTCCGTCCAACACATCTTTTTTGAGTAATCAAAACTGAAAAATAAACATTATTTGGTTAATTTGAGAAGATTGTGTAATTTATTCAGTATGAAGAAGTCGGAGACTAAAGATTTTCGAAATATGTCAATCCAAACGAGAGAACACAAACATCATTATATGTACTAGTTTTTCAAATTCATAGGACTGAAGGTGACATAACTTAATAATTCCCATTCAGCATCTATTTTATGGTTACTATAAGCAGTCTACTAGAAGCTTTATGTCTCTTTACATCGTCTATGTGTTTTCCTCTGAAAATGTAGATAAATAAATGTCTGCCTAGAAACGTTTCTAAAATAGTTATCAATACACTCTTGTTATTATCTTTTTACATGACAGGAGGGTAGATTAAATGAACTTGTTCTCTCTCTTACTCCCTTTTTTTCTCTCTCTCTCTCTTAATCAGCCTAAATTTATCAAAGTCTATCATTATATGGAGACATTGCTTTCTTTTTAGTTTTAGGAATATATCGGCAAATGTGTGTGCTTAATAGAAAGATAGAGTTAGATATTTATCTAAATGGTGAATTTATTTTGTGTCTTATCTACTTGTTGCTATATTCATTATTTATGAACTAATCACTTTGATTTGTTCATTGTTAGGAGTGTTATCCTATTCAAAATATGTACAAATCGAATATGGATGAAACAGACATTAGAAAGTGTACAAGTCATGATTTAAGGTAAGTATGCATCTTCTATAGTAATATGCCTACCATAAAGTATCAAATCTCCTCTTAAATAGTATATATGCCATAATCATTTGTTATATAGTTTTCATTGACACTGATTGGTAATACGCCGGTGATATGCACTTAGTTCAATGCTTCCAGTCGAATCTGATATCTTAGGCTTCGCATTAACTGAAGGTGATGTACCAAGAAAGAGAGGTAAAAATTACATCAGCAACTTATTATGAATGTTGTTCGGCATTCCTCTTTTTCTTTGTAGCAATTCTGTATATTTCCTCTATGCCTGACGCTTGTTAACTGATCACAAATATAAATAGAACCAATAGATAAATGTATGTATACATGTATCATTGACAAATTATCTTGAGAGTTAAATCATTCCTTTATCTATCATCTACATGTTTTTACTGGTGTTGTTCAATTTCGGTTGAGCAGTTTTAAGAACCAAATAAGATAATATTCTGCAGATATAGCAATTTGTTATTACGATAATCCAGAAATTATAAACACAAGTAAACTATTTATCTAGGCTGAAATCTGCTGATGCAGTGGGTTGTAATGGTTAAGATAGACTATACTAAGACGAAACAGCTTTTTAATCATTTCAAATGATTGTTCAACTGAGATAAATCTGTAATTAGTAGTGTCGCCAATAGATTCAAAAAAAAATTTCAGCCAATGCTGAAATGCTAAATGGAGTTCAATCCGTGTTATGTGGATATAGTTAACCACCTCAGATAACGGATGAAGGGCTACGCAAGATCATGGATAGATTGAAGTTAGACGTTAACATCGTTGGAGTTAAACGTTCTCTTACGAGATAAAAGGCTTACGGTTCGAGTCCCACTAGCGGGGTCATCGATCGGCATTGCTGAGGAGTCAGACACTAGAACAGAACGGCCATTTGGTACTTCAAACTGTTCCAGAGTTGTCGATCCTAGATTGATCCATGAATAGTCAGGTCCTTTGTTTGGCACTTCTCGACGATTGACTGCAGCCTATTGATCCTTAGCGTCTTCATTGTAGTCGTTGGTAGGCGCATAGCATTGGATGATATTCATTGAAATGCCCTCCTTTTTTGTTTTGAACGAGGCTTTCATGATCCTTGGTCCATGAGATTCCCATACTATAAGTGTATTTTGTGCTTGCTTGGACATCATCAATGCACGTCCTTGTGTATGTGAGGTATTTTGTTCATCATGGCTGGAATATAATAGAAGCTCTCTTGAAGCTAGTCGTTGTTGTCCAACTTGCGTCCAACATGTTTCACTGATCTAAAGCACCTCTAGGTTGTATCTCCTAATTTCTGCAGCAATTTGGAAGAGTTTAATGGTCTCCCACATTGTACGAGTATTCCTTGTACCTAAATAAATGGTTGCACTGGTTGCCAGAAGAGGCATCGGTCTCGTGACTTCCGAACGAACTCGGCATTCATCATTAGGCGTCGTAGTTCTTCTAAATGAAGATCTTCTAACTCCCAGGGCAGAGTTTAAAAGGTTTTTTTGAGGTTGGCATTTTTTAAACGAGTTAGTTTCCTACGGGATGGGGTCGTTAACCTCATGCTCAACCCTCCTTTTTTATCCGAGGCTTGTGACCGGCAGTAGCCCACGGAGAGACTCCATGCAAAGTTATAAATTTCTATACTGATATTTAATTGCATTTGTTTTATTCATCTAACGTAAACATTAACGTCATCATGAAAACTTTATTGATTTTCAATATTTTAGTTCTATCAATTTGCATACAAATGAAATTGATTTATCTACAAATTTTATAGAAGAAAATTATTTAAATTATATTTCTTGTACATATCCACAAGATACTACTTCATTATTGAATAATATTCATTCAATCAATGATCATGTATCAACACAATGTACCAATAAATTATCGATTAATTATAATCAATTACCATATTGTTCCAATCAATTAATTGATAATCAATTTAATACAATTATCAGTAATATATCACCATCTCATAATACCTCTGAATGTTTTATAAATGATACTATGCCTAATTTTAAACAACCAGATATTACTTCATTAATCTATACTAGTTCTTCTAAACCATGGATACAAAATACAAATGAATTGAAAAATACCATATCACCACCACCACCACCACCACCAGTACCACTATCACCACAATTATCATTCACTTCTTTAACAAATAATTCTTCATCATTAGCTCCTATATTTTTAATGACATCAGATTTAAATTATTCAACAGATATTCATCAAAATCATCTTACTAATTCAAATGCATCAACAGTAATTATACCACCGGTTATTTTACATTCAACAAATGATCAAACTTTTATGAATAATCCATACAGTCCAATGACAATCAATAATGATAATAATAATAGTAATAGTGCAAATACCTCAATTCTTTACAATACTATTAATAGTAATAATCATAATAATGTTAGGAATCCTATTCCAGATATTTCTATTATCCCTTTTCATATGAATAATTGTCAAACAGGATAATAATAATAATAATAATAATAATAATAATGACTTGATTCCGGTAAACATAATACTGATGCCAATATATGTTATATACCTAAAATGAATGACTGTACTTCATTTTGAATGTTTAAGTACTTAGATTATGTTTCAATGTTGGAAAGTTTTTGTAAATTATTTTCTGATTATTATGTCATGATATGTCGTTTATTTTTTAATCTTTTTTTTAATTTGTAGATAAGATATCAAGAACTACCTACATCATATAGTTTTGTTTATTGATTTTTTCTTCTCTCTTTTCTTTTTCTTCTTTGTTATTATTATTGTTTCCGGTCTTTCTTCTGTGTTTTGACAATGTATTCAAAATAAAACAGAATGAACAAAACTGTAAAGATAGTTTTTAAAATCTTTTATTTTTTTGGACTACTATAGGAAATACGATTAATTTGATGGAATTTTAACGATATTCTTTGTCATTTTAATGGTTGAGATCAGGAGTCCATTGAAGCTAGATCACTATGAAAAATTTGGAAGCACTGGAAGGTCATTTCGTGGAACTACACAACAGGTCGTATCAACATATGCTCACTAGTGACTGGCTGCAAGAGTTATTTCTTGAAGTTTTAGTGAGTAGCAGTAAACAGTGGAATTCAACAGGGTCTGTTGTGTGAAAATAACTTGCGGAAGACAATGATGGGTGTGTTTTTCAATTTCGTGAATCGGTTGAATTTAGACATTAACACTGTTGATTCCGGCTGGCTCAGTGATGTAGTGGTTAAGCGCTCGTGCGCGAGACCGATAAGTTCTGGGTTTGAGTCTGGCGAGACAGGATCGTGGATGAGCACTGCTGAGGAATCCCACAATAAGACGAAACGGCCTTCCAGTGCTTCCAGGTTTTTGATTGTGGTCTAGCTTTACCTGACTCATGATCTCAACCATTGAAACTACTATAATATCCACAAAAAGCCCTTCTGATATATTCTTTGTTGATAGATAATGAATTGCAAGAACTTCGTAACCGTTTTCTATATCTTGGATATGCTATGATTTGTAAATCTGTTAATCTTGGTTTCGACCTTCCGAACTGTTTACTGATATTCCAAATAAAACTCTACCTAACAATCTTGGCTACGAAGTAATTACTTTACGAAACTCGATGATAAAACAAATTAGACTCAGTAATTCACATCATTAAATAGACAATTCACTATAGATAAGAAATAACAACTTTAGCAAAGGTAATTTTAAACTTGAAGTAACAAGCTCCTAGTTAGCTTACAATAGTTTAGCGATGAAAAAAGATAGAACAACAGTTATAGTGTTGCAAATATAAAAAACCCACGAACCGTATGTCCGTAATTAAACGCAAATTAATAGGCCGACTAAGATCCCAAAAGACATAATAAGGAAAGTTATTAGACGGTTCTGATGAGAGTATCTTGGATATCCATACTAGAAATACAAACTTATATCGAATTCCTCTTAATTAATTTTAATTACTGTATGTACTGTATGTACTTTGGATTTTCCATGTAGTATGTAGTTGATGACATAAAAAGTAATCAGGTTTTCTTTTCATAAAGTACAATTACAACTATTTTCATGAGTTTCTGTTTTCATTTAGTTGACATGATAACAACTAAATGACACGAAATTATATTTCAGACATTCTTTAAATGTTGTAATTTGAATGATGCTATAAATACAGTATAATGTAATCGGAATTCAGTCATCATATATATATATATATATATATATATATATATATATATATATATATATATATATATATATATATATATATATATATATATATACAGACTTGATTAATGACCGATCAGAACGGTAAAATCATTGACGAGAAACTGATGTCGATAGATGTAAACAGTGTTTAGCACCAGTGAAAAATAGAATGCTTGATAGCATAAGGTTAAGAAGATCGAAGGAAAGAGATCAAGAACATTGAATGATTGGTATGGTAACGAAGGAACAATGAAGTTTGAGATGATTGATTGACATATTGCAAATGAAGTATTTCCTGTATGGTTCTCAGATGGTATTTAGAGATTCTTTAATTCCGTATTTGACATTCATTCCATTGTTTTTACTTGTGTTCTCGTTTACTACAATGTTATTTAGCTCATAGAGCAATACCTTAAGGATACGAAGAAATGTTAGCTTACTCGGTGACTTAGTGTTGTTTACACAATGCCATAGTATGTTGTACTGCATTACTATTAGTTGTCCCCGCTTGTATTCTATCTGGCTCACAACAGTATCAGATCATTTTTTCTTTTTCCGATCTAAGTTCTATATAATTTACCTTGATGACTAGATTTCTTCAATGCTAAAAACTCAATCATATTCGTATTTATTTAACTCTGAAAACCGTTTCTTCGAATGGAAAATGGAGATTAACTTCACACCGATTGAATCGTGATGATTTAATTATTTTTCTGTTTTGTTTACAACATAAAAATCTTTATAAAAAAAAATTCGTCTGATAAACCAAAAAGTTATTAAAATTTAATCATTTTAATAAATCCCATTATTAATGAACATTAAACGTTTTTAAAAAAAAATTAATTTATCCCGTTGTCATGGCAACAATTTAGGTGGAAACTATATTATGATTAAAAAATACCACCAAATAATTTCACAATTAACGCTTTTTACAGACAGTATAAACTTTATGAAAGGGGGTTTAAACGTTGTGATTTGGATAACTTATTTTTTGGCGAGACTATAAATTATGGATGATATTTGAGCTATTCTAAAATGACTCTGAGAGTGTCCACCTAATAGCTAAGATTAAATGAAGGTTATAAACCAGTGTAAGGAATTTGAATTATGATTTACAGTTGATGGTTAAGGTTAAGAATTCGATTTGCGGTAATAATGCCAAAACTTTATTTAGACAAATGGATGAGTGAATCACGCGCCAAGATCCGAGATCTGTTAACTTATACGTGGTTGGTTAGTCCAAAAATTATAGTTTCGTTCATTTTTCTACTGTCCATAGACAATCATAAAATTTTTGATTTCATAAGTTTCATCAAAAAATGGTCGTACGAACATAATCAATGGAAGGTGGTCCTGCTATTTAAATCGTTAGTGATCAAAAACAAGAATTTTCAATCTTGAACCTAGTGAATAACCTCTTAATTCCTGAAAGAACATCTAATTATTATAATGTTGTTACTCAATCGACTTATGATATTGCACAATCCTCTTATTATAAGATAAGTTGGTAAATGTATCATAATGGAAGTGCTTTAAAATCCATTTGTCGTGATCTCATAGGAGAATTAAAGAAATCATCTTTTGAAATACATTCACATAAAATGAAAGATTATTATCATTATACAGGAAATATATGAGATATTTGGAAACTTCTAGATTACATTATTGGCTAATAATCGATAATTCTTATGTCTTGTGGCAGTAGTTTAAAAACGTAAGTCATGGAAGCAATGACCAGTGATTGATTAAGTTATATGAGTTCATTATGAATAATGGTAAAGGTCAATAGAAAAACGTAAGGAGATGTAATCCCATGGTAGTCAGTGGCCAACCATAGGTTCATACTTCATGTGATTCCTTAGGATCCTGGAGTCCATGTGCACCATCAATTTAGAACCAGGGTTTTCCAACTCCATCAGGTAGATCTTCCATATTCACCGACCCAGTTAGAGCGTCGAACATTCGCTTTTTGTACTCTCCATTTCGTAAGAAACAGTAATGCTATGAGAAGACAGTGAATAGGACTTCCCTAACAGTGGCTGTCTACTCATGGTCATGTGACAGCGTTTCGAGAGAGAGAGAACTGAGTCTCTTCACCATCGGCTTATTGATTTATCACTTGTTTACTGATATTATAAACAAATGTTAGAAAACAAACTATCGAAATAGTTCAAAGTAACTCAGTCAAGAATGAATTGAGCGTTCGTCAAAGTCGGTCTTGCAAAACTTACGAGCAATAAAATAAATTTTAAAAAAAACTAAACGAAACATCTAAGTGAACGTTTACTACAGACCACAGTTCTGACTTTTGTAAACATAAACGATTCTACAGGAAGTAGTGTGAAAAAGGATACAAATTTCGACAATTCTTTTGTTATACATTTCTTCATACATTAAAATCTAAATAAGACGTGTTAAACCAAACAATATTAATACAGGTTCATTCATTCTACCTTTAAATACCTAAGTTATATGATAACGCTTGTTCACAAAATCTTGGTTTATCGATCACTGTAATCTAATTGGAATGTAGTAATCGATTCAAGACATCTACCTTTGAATTATATTGATCAATATCTACTGTAGTCCACATCAAGTTCAGTATAGACGTCACAGATTTGAAAGTCGATGACGTAGATAGATATAAGTAAATCGGGTTTATATTTGTAAACCAGCGTTGATAGACTAAATCATTTTCAAGCTTTTCACCGATATTTATAAAATTTGACTCATTTCAGTTATACTTTTAGTACAGGTCATATTTTATTATCTTGAAAATCTGCGTAGTTTCAATTCATTGTCATGTACATGATCATCTGCTCACTAGTGACTGACTTTAAGAGGTACTCCTGGAGTTCTAGTGAGAAGCCGTTACCAGTGGAGTTCAACCAGGTCAGTTGTGAGATATCAACTCACTGAAGACAATGGTATAAGGTGGCGTAACTTCATGGATTGGTTAAAGTTAGACATCGTTGGATGCCGACCGACTCAGTGGTCTAGTTGGTTAAGCGCCTGGTGCGAGACTGATAGTTCCTGATTTGAAATTTCGCGTGGTGTGGGATTATGGATGCGCATTGCTGAGACGTCCGGTGCTTCCAGATTTTCCATGGTGATTTAGCTTTAATTGACTCATGATTTCAATCAGTAAATTATAGATTTATTAATTTGAGTACTTCGTGACGATTATTTTTGCCTATCTAATACTGGAAAAGTATAAAATTTAAAACATCCCTCTTTTCCAATTTGAATGCTTTATTAAAATTTCGTTCGGTTAAATGAACGACTAGTCATCAATAC